CATCATCGCAATGAGGCGAGATCTTACCGTGGTGCGATGATTTGCGTGCCTCAGCGATCCATTAAGCTAGGTTGGGTGGTAATTATTGCCTCTTCAGAGCCACTTATACCAGATTCGTCAATGGCTAGAGGCCACACAAACTCGGCTTTCTTGTCCTCCAAGTGGGAGTGAGGGTTGCTCCGTATTCCTTAAATAAAATCTTCGTAGCCCACTGCGAAATCCGCAGTGATTAACTTAATCGTTATCCTGTCAAGACCTTGGCAAACTGCCAGTATCTTGCCCGCTCAATAAAACGAATCCTTCCTCAAGCATTTTCTTGATGCTCTAGCCGTCGCAGAGAATAATCGACTGCGCCCTATCTGCTACATCGAGCAGGATGGATTGGGGTTTGGATGTCATTGCTTAAGCCTTTCCGTCATCTTATTCCACCTCTTGCGCTTTTTCATCTTATCGTCCCACTCCAACTTCCCTTTTATCCCCCCGTTTTCAGCCCCCAACTCTTGGCCCTCCCCCGCCTTATTTCAATAGGCGTTTATCTTCTAGTGCCAGCTCACACAAACGCAGAGAGTCACTCCTGCTATTTTGACGAGCCCATGACTAACCAAGCAGACAATCCCAGTTTATCAGCCTCTATTTGAAGCCCTCGATTGGCATTCTTCAACGTACACACATCGTTACAGATCGGTCAACAGGCAGCGCCTGGTCGAAAACCCTGTCGATCGATATCTGCTACTTATCGGAAACCCGCCTGCAAAACTGGAGCTCTATGCTCACTCTGCGATCCCCTTCAGGTGAAACTCGCAGTGCCTTCTCACTGCGTCTATCCGTAGACGATGTACCTTTGAGTGCCGGTATAGCCGGTGTGGGTACTATCCTGAGTCGCTGGGCTGTCTGCTCTGGTTATTTGGATTCCAATGAGTAACCGCATGTGTGCGGTTCGACTGGCTAGCTCGTTCGAAGCCTCGAAGTCGCGCGGGGCGAAAAGGTGTCTGTTTGCCATCGCTGTTTACGCGCCCACAAACCGTAGCGATGACTCGGTGAAAGGCGACTTCTACCGCCAACTGAACGCATTCTTTCGTTACAGATGCTGTAGTGCTGGTTGGGGATCTGAACGCTCAAGTTGGGAAATAGTTCACTGATGAGCTGTATATAGGGGATCAGCACGGTGTGGGCTCTCATAATAATAACGGTGAGCGGCTACTTCATTTGTGTGAAGATGCTCGTCTATTTCTCGCGAGCGCTAACTTCCGACACAGAACTCGCCTTAGAGTGACATGGCGCTTACCAGCCTTGGGGCAGGCATGGGCGCAAATCGATGACCTGGCGATCAGTTAACGCTGGAGAGGCTGCTTCCAAAGCTGTCGCTCGATTTGGAGCACGTGTGAACACTGACCATGCACGTGTATGTGCTGATCTCCAGTTGTGTTTTGGCGCACGCCCGCGAAGATGCCGTGAGCACATAGTTACCCGCCAACTGGCGAAGCCAAATGTTCTGAATGCGTATCGAAGTACGGCGTGCAGATTGAGAAAGCGCTCACTGAATACAGTTTGTTAATAGTCGCATGTTCACCAGACGTTATTAACAACAGTGTGGTAAATCCACTAGCAAAAATATACATTGGGTCTCTTCGCAGTCTCTGGAACTTATCGATAGTTACCGGCACATTACGGCTGGAAGCGAACACAACGAAACTCCCAAAGCCCTCAGGGGAAAACTCTGTGTTAGCCTGAAAAGAGACCGCGAACGCGGATGATCTCATCGCGCGTCGGAAATGGAAGTAGTCGGTGCCCTTGGTAACCGTAGTAAGTTATTCTGTCTGGTAAAGGAAACGAGTAACATGAGACTTAGCGTTAGTAATACTATGTGCGGCGAGAATGAATAGCCAGTCCACAACCTGTCAGAACGCTTGGAGCGTAGGGCTGAGCACTGTGAAAGGCAATTCAATCGGTCGGAATTGTCAAATTTCTCGCCAGCCAACCATCGCCCAGCTCCCTGGCCTGTCCCTTTGGACCCGCCTTCTCGCTCAAAAGTCAAACATGGAAAAGCACCGGACGCCGGCGTTTCGACCTTCTGGGTCTCGTCAGTGGTGCGCCTCCAAGCGGACCCCTGCCGGGTTCCGCCCCCAAGACTTCAGGATGCCAGCAGCTGATGCCGCTTCGCCATGGATGACAGCCGTGGGCCTGCGTGATTGACAGTTGACTATGATATAGCCCTGCTCATCTTCCATTGTCATGCCAGTTACGAACTGTGCAAGGGACAGTGGCTGGCCTCGAGCTAGCACTTTCCGCATAGGGCCTATATACGACATAGGACTTAGAAGCTATACAGACAGATTTTATATTATCATCAATAATATAATAATAACTGGCAATGGAAGATGAGCAGGGCTATATTATAGTCATCTGTCAATCACGCAGGTCCGCGGCTGTCACCCATGACCAAGCGGCACTAGCTACTGGCATCCTGAAGTCATGGGGACGGAACCCGGCAGGGGTCCGCTTGGAGGCGCACCACTGACGAGACCCAGAAAGTTGAAACGCCGGCGTCTGGTGTTTTTCCAGACTAGCCTGAGCTTCTGATTGGGAGTGACGATGATGAATTATCTGAATTATACCAAAATCCTCACTCTTACTCATGAATAATAGTGGAATCAGACTGAGAGTAAGTAGAAAGGTTTCTGTACAACACTATCGAATTACGAAAAATCAGAAACATTTAGTGAATCATCAGCAGTTGTGTCTGGTCCGTTAATCGTTTATCCTTGTTCGGTTAGAAATTTGTACTAGTGTCATTATTTCCGGGCATACAATGCCTTTTTTGGCACTGTATGTGCATCGTTTCACAAAAGCACAGGTTTCCAAAATAATCGTCGATACGGGTTTTAAAACACTTCACAGATTCGGCCTCTATTAATCCTTCAGGTAGTGTATTCCATAAGTTTACGATTCTTCGTTCGATACAAAGCTAATGTGATGCTTTGTTCATGTTGGGGACTCTGAGTTTGTAACGGTGTCCTCGGGTGTTACAGGGTTCCCGCAGGTGAAATATTGGTCGCAGTATGGGGAAGTGATTTAAGTTTAGTACTCGATGGGTCATAATAAGGTCAATTCTTTCTCTCTCTCTCTCTCTCTCTCTCTCAATCACCTCCAAGTTTCTTTCCTCTATCATTTTTCACATTGACTGGCACCCGTGAAAGCCAGATAGATGATGAGTAAGCCGAATTTTGTCGAGGTCGGGGCAGCATCAGTCATATCTTCACTTTATGTCAATCGTTGGAACACTGTCACATAAATTGGCGGCTCATCGTTGTCGTTTTTCTCGACATTAAAGGTGCGTTCGGTTCGCTGAATCGATGTGACCTTTGGGACTGTCTGCTTAGGAAAGTTGTGCCCGAGAATTATGTAAATATTATACGGGCGCTTTACGCGCGTAGCTGTTGCAGAGCGAGGGATTACGGAAGGCTGCCGTTGTCCTTCAATATCTCCATCGGTGTAAGACAAGGGATGCCTGCTGTCACCTTCTCTCGTCAACTTCGCTATTGACAAAGTCATGGAAATCGCGTTCACTGGACACGACTTAGAAGGTGTGGAGCTACTTCCTGGTGCGCGACTTCTTAACCTGGAGTATGCTGACGATATTGACCTCATCTGTGACAGCTCCCAAACGTACCAAGCGGCGCTGGACGGATTAGCACTGGCTGTCGGCAGTTTCAGACTTTGCTTTGCACCCTCCAAGTGCAAAACTCTCCTCAAACGTTAGCAGGGACCGTTTCCTACGTGGACCCTTGGTGGGGATCAGCTAGAACTCGTTCAGAAATTCAACACCTAAGCAGTTGTATCAGCGTCTGTAGAATCGAAGATGAGCTCATAAACTGTATGGCAATCTCGAGGCGCTTTTGCTAACCTTCACCACGTATGGCGCCGACGCGACATCACTCATCCTTTAAGGTAGTGTATAATGTAGCCGTACGTTCGATCCTACGGTTGTGAAACCTGGCTCATTAGATCGGCAGACCTATGGAGGCTAGTTACTGGTGCCTTCGTTGTTTGACTCATATCTGGTGGTAACACCGCGTGTTCGACGCCTTGGTTATGGCGCAGCAGGAAGAAGCGAACTGTTCAGCACCGTTATTTCACGCACCAGGCTCTGATGGCTGGGCCACGTGTTGCGCATGCCGACTCCCGCGACGCGTGTTGTTTACTCTCCGGGGGTGTGGATGGAAGAACAGGAGAGAAACAAAGCGGAATGAAGGCACTTAGTTCGAAGTTGTTTACGGTTGGAGCCTCTCGGCTCCGTGGTTGGGTCCTGAATGACTATGAACGCGTTCGCCTGGATAAACTTGTTGACATGGCGAGGAGCCGACTTCAATGGCGTTTGTGTTGTGAGTTCCTTTGTACCTCCCCCTCCAACCATGATCTCATTTCTTATTCATAACATAACTTTTTTGCGGCACAATAGCCGACTGCTAGCTCTCCGGGACGCTGTTTATCCGTTACTAGGGACTTAGCTGGCGCGTTCTTTTTCCCCTTTCTGGTGTATTACGGAACAATAGCTGAGGCATTTCCCACCTCTCTCTAATGTGTATAATGATGATGATAGTATCTTATAAGAGTCCCAGAAGTCTTTTCAGTTCTCGCCTACCAACTCGTCTGATGTTGGCGTCCCGGACCTTCCAGGTGTTGATATTTCGTGAACACCTGACTACTCAGGGACTCGTGTCAGCCCAGTTTCCAGTCAGCAAACTTCGGACTACAAATTGCTGCATGTAGCGCTATCGTTTATCCACTATCCCAGAAGAAGTTGCATTTGCTATGTACACTCTGCCTCCTTACTTCCAGCTGGTGTCCGAAGATTTTTTATTGAAATTCCTCCCCTTCCACCAACAACGTTCGATCACGATTAGTCTCATCCTTATCCGTTTTTACTAGCAATCTGTGCATTAATATTCCCATTAGAGTCACCATTTGCCTATTTTTGCCATTGTTTACTCACTGCTCAGAGCACCGGAGACGGCGTGAATTCCTGTGATGACGAAGACGGGCGTGATAGTGTAGAGGACGAGGAGGATCCTGTACAGCTTGATGTAATAAACGAACGGTCGAGGTTCGCTTCGGAGAAAACAATGAAAAGGGAAATTCCCACGAGTTGAGAGCGTCTGACCGATCCGACTTTATGGGGATGAGCGAAACGGAGTGTGGGCCATTCCAGCGCGCTTTATTTGTAAATATGTATCACACCTTTGATTATAGTGCTTTTTGTACCAAATTTGTTTTCGATTTGGAGGATACAATCTTCGTACGTAAATTCTCACAAACTAATGCTGAGCGTAAGAACTCGCTTCCTCATGTCTGCTGGAGAGCACTGATCTTCAAGTTGGGTTCTAATGGCACATGCATTGTGATCTGCCACTTGTTATTTTCATCCCTAAACCGGATCCGATGAATAGGCTACCTGATGTAATCATTATTGTGATGATGAAGAACGCACCTGGCGAGTAGCTACATATTTCCAATGGTAGATTTTGCGCAGCGATATGTCTTGCATAGGAAATCCTTACGCACACACTTGAACTCTTGCGGTATTTCCGGCTACGGCTGTTGACAAACGACCCAATTTCAAAATCTAAATGACGGTGCTACTGCGAGTATTGGTGGTTGCACGACCATGACATCAAACGACCCGTTACAAGTTATCGGAGCGACTTGTTGAGATGTACTGAGCATCCCGATGGAAAGGGCGCTGATCGCGGTCACTAGTGCACAAAGGTCGCTGAAGTTATGGTGTGGCCTGATATGTGTGCAAATGACACCACGCTCAGAGTCTATCACCGTGGGGTACAAGCATCTAAGAAAATGTCCAAAAAAATCTGTATAAACACTAAGCTCTTGACAGTTGGTTAACTTTTCCGTTGTTACAAAAGATACTTGGATACCTTAAATCCAAGTTTTCCTTCCGGGTGATAGAGACAGGGAACTGTCACTTGTTCACGCTCTCCTCCATTATGTTCAGCGGTTTTGAGATTCATAGCGTACCGGCTCTCAGGTGTCTAACTTGCCATTTTTACTCCGGATTTGGGTCCCTAGACTTGGACACTTTGGCGTCACAATAGTCCGCTTGCGACATCGACAAGGCAGCTTCATTGTGACTTTCACTCTCCCACATCGTAATCAGCTTTACTCCAATTACTCAACATCAGACAACACGACTAAGAAGTAACAGCGACGCACCGTTGGTGCCGACTGCACTCATGTCTTGCAACGTCTCGAGCCAACAATAAAGTGGGTCAGCGTGGAATGCAAGTTGTCGGTGATTTTGTTTCCTCTTGCCAAGTTAACGTTAGCCCCTCATGCCATCGTACATCTGGTAAACCGAACAACGCAATACAATTGCACAGTTACGAAGGCAAATGCTGAATAAACGCCACATAATCCTCATTATCAATATGACGTCCCGAATGGTGTGCGCGCACCACAGGTGACCTTATCAATGCGGCCCGGTGTTTATTCTTGATGCATTTTAAATGCATCGAGCATGGAAATATAACTATCTAGTTACTAAAAGCTATAACTTGCATCAAAATCGACATTTGTCACTCAAGCATACGCGACCGGAATGACATCATCCTCCGCAAGTGTCACTTGTGATAAGGCTGTCGTCTATCATCACTGGCTGACGATCCGTAACACCTGCGAACCTTGTGTCATTTATTCAATTATTACAACCCCTGAAGTAACTGCTCCTCTCCCTATTGCTGCGTTAACCGATCAGTCCTGCTCAATCAGCTTCTCAGGAGTGATGTTCAAACAAATATTTGCTACATTAGTAAAAATTAAACTGCACTCAAGTCAACTTGACGGAAAAGTCCTCTATATTTTGTTCCGATCGTGGTGTTTTACAGGGAGCGATCCTCTTCCCCTGTTTTTATATACTGGAAACCGATACCGTCTGGGGTGTATTGCACCTATTGTTTAAAAATCTACTTTTCAGAGTGATCTGGATGAGTTTATGGTGTTGCCTTCGTATCGGTCTCTTATTCCGAAATGTTGCGACGTAACATTCTGCTCTCTTCGGGCTGATAAGCTACAAGCTATTTTGGATGTCACTTCGTCACTGGCAGTGAGGACGCCGACGCCAATATCTGGGGGTCTTAGTATTCAAAAACCTATTCACATCGCCGAAACGTTTTACAAGGTTAAAAGGCTATCTTTCTACCCCACAGACTTGAAATGTTTTCACCAACACGTGATTTGATTTTTAACTTTGTACGCATTCTGCTTTCCTGGCTCTACTGTTCATTTGGGATATTTCCTGGGCTACGTAAAAAGATCACATGGATTGTGCAGCTGGGAAGCTCATTTTGAAGCACTCGTATGAATGGACGGAAACGCGCAATTTCAATGTGGAGCGCGATTCGCATTGAAGAAGTGTACCTTGGTCAATTCGAACGCACGTCGCAATCCACTCACAAGAGTGCTTCAAAATGACCCACCAGTAGTCATTAAGCGTCGTCTGTGGTGACCCGGTGGATAAAGGGGTAGAGGTCCCAACTAACATCCCAATGCTCCCGGGTTCGATGCCCGCTATCGTTACTTGATAAAGTCAGATAAGTCGTTAAAACTTATTCCTAGGTGCAGTGTATTGTCTAGGCTCCCACGTTGATTTTATTGTTAGGGAGGACATAAACGACCGTTTCCACCCAACACACGGTGCTCTGTCAAAAACGCCGTTATTTTGCTACATACTCTAAATTTAGGGTTTTAGTTTCTTGTACTGCATATTACCACAGTTCTATCCCACCGCACTTGTCACCATTACTTGTTGATTTAAATAAAATGGCCAGTATGATACGCAACTGTTTTCCCAAATTGTACGCATTTACGTTCGACACATTATTTGTTTTTGATTCTCCATTCGCAGTGATAGTGTAAAACGCTGAAAATGTACCTACCCGAGTATATGAAACCTACTCTGAATTGACTCGATTAGAGAACGCTGAGCCGTCTCCGGTGATCAAAATGGATGTCTGCTACTGCAGTGGTTTCAGTTGCATTGCACTACACGATGAGTCGGTCCCCCGGTACTGCTAGGGAATGAACGTTTTTGCTCTCTCTTTTGTTCTGACCAGTAGTCACACTTCATGTCAGGGCTTTTGCAGTCAACAACGTACGTTACATCGATCAGCATTTCGATATTAGCCCTCACGCTGCCTATGAAGCATGAACATCTGATTGTAGTGTCTTAACGGTTTTCAGCACCCGGGGTTCTGGCTGCACTAGTGCAGATGTTGAGACAATCTGAGACAGCGCGGGTGCCATAATTCAAAATAAGAAGCGCCGGAGCACTTTCAAGAGCAGTTCAGTTGGCCCCTTTCTTCTAGATGCCTTCCCACTCAGGTGGTGCAGGTTGAACCATGGCCAGTTAGTTTGGTGGATCCGTCGGAGACTAAGGTTCGAAACGCAATCACAGCCCTTCGTTTTCGTGCTGCTGGCTCGGATTCCCTCGCACCTGCACTGTTTAAGGATGGTGGGGCGGTTCTCTGCAAAACACTAACCTCCCTGTTCGAACATGTCTAGAAGGAAGAGACCATCCCAGCTAACAGGAGTCACTCGATTATAGTGGCAACATACAAGAAGGTAGTCACACCGACTGTGCTAACCACATGGGCATTGGCATAACGCCGGCGATGAAAAAAGTTCTGGCCTCAATTCTCGTTCGTCGCCTTACTGTGGAAAAGGAATTTTCGGATTAGAGAAGAGCAGGCAGGTTTCCGCCCTGGACGGGGCTGTATAGATCACATATTCACTTTGCAGCAGCTTCTAGAGCAGCGCCACGCAGACCGACAATAGTTGTGTTCCTGGACTACAAGAGTGCGCTCGACTCTATCGATCGATGCATTCTGTTCGAAACACTTGGTTGGAAAGGTGTTCCCATGAAATATGTGAACATTCACATGGTCTATACTCGAATACGACAGGCCGCGTCAGGATCCACGGTGATTTGTCGGATGCCTTTCCGACAACAAGCGGCGTTCGTCAGGGTTGCCCAATTTCCACATTTTAGTTCAATTTCGTCGTAGACTCCATCATGGAGTGTTCCCTTGTGAAGCCTCACGATGCAAGCGTTGAGGTGCTGCTTCGCGGGCGATATTGTCTTGCTGTTTAACGGTGTCGGAACTGCCCAGTCAACCCTGAAGAACCTTTGTAGAGTAATCTCATGATTTGGCATGCGCTTCGCAACTTCAAAGTGACAAGTGTTGTTGCAGGACCACCTAGCCACTTGATAACCTCTTGACTCTTCATGGTGAGGAACTCGAAATAATTCACCTATCACTTATCTTGACAGCTGCATCAGCAACAATGGGCACATAATTATTGAAGTCAGTTCGCGCATTGCAAAAACCAAAACTGCCTAGAAACGGCGACATCTTTGGCGACAGAAAGGAATTCCCCTCCACCTGCGAGACCGTGTTTACAAGGCCACAGTGAGGGCTGTCTCACTGTATGGTAATGAGACTTGGCCCTTCGATCTGAGGGTCTGAAGCGCCTACGAGTCTTTGATCATCGCTGTCTGCGGAGCATTGCTAGCATCCGGTGGCACCAGCGTGTGCGCAACGATGAGTGAGTACTAGGTTAGTACTAGACAGTGATAACCAAGCTAGTTCCTTAGAATAACAGATGGTACTGAGTAAGTTCCGTTGGCTTGGGCACGTACTGCGTATGTCCGGTCACCGCTTACCTAGGAGGGCATTGTTTTGTTATCCAGGTGTAGAGTGGCTCGAGGTGAATTAACAGCGGGAAATGAAGGCACTGACAACCACACTGGGTGCTGTTGGCCCTTCTCGCCTTCTGGGCTTGAGTCCACGTAACTCGCCTTGTGCTTAGCTCGACTTTATAGGACATGGCTCGCAGTTGGCACCAGTGGTGTGTCTGCTGTGGTCTAGTCGTACTGCCTGTTTAACGTGTGTTTGGTGCCGAGTTATCTGGGGGGTAATGACTGATTATGACGCGGGGCAGTGAAAGTCGCAAGGAAGCTGTCTCGCTGATGCCACCATATCTTTGCACAGTATCCAGCTGTTTGTGACGGCATGTTGTTGACAAGGGTTAGGGCATTAAGGCTTTCCGATAAGTCCCCATTCTCTCTCCCTTATTATTCTTTGTACCTTAGGTAGTTATGGTTGTATGACAGTGAAGCGTGTCAAACAAGTATGTGGAAAATGGACGCGTCTTTGTGCAGGCTGCTGCTGTTCGGCCTCACACATGTCACGGAAAGCCGATTGTAGTGGTTAAGGCGAGTCACATGCTGACGTTCGCCGCTCAGCTGAATTTACGTAGTAAGTCAAAAGAACAGTGTACAGTATTGGTTCCCTCCAGTTAAGTACCGGATGAGTTAACTTTCAGCCAGCGCAGCTCGTTGCAATGCTAGGGAGCGAGCTCCTTAGCTATACAGCGGGCACAGAATGAGAGAGCTATAGCAATGTGGTTGGATGATGCGGTAAATGATTACATAGGTTTCCGAATCCTACACGACTGTCTGCGAAAGGAATGGGAATGGACACGTGCCCAATAGGTCATCCGTCAAGCATGCGAATTTCAATAGAAATGAGGCTGCTCTCCGAGTTAGCTGAAGAAACGCATAGCTAACGATTGTCGTTTGCCTAGCAAAGAGGCATGATCACTCAACCATATACCGGGTGTCTGTCAAAGCATTCACTATCTTTTCTTACCTACTCAGCGCTTCCACAATATAATTCAGTTGCAGGAATACCTCGCTGTAGACGACCGACTTCTTGCATACTATTGCGATGAAGCTGGACCGTAATGTGGATGAATTGATTGAGATCCTATGGGTGGTAGTTCGGTTTAATTAGTTGACTAAAACCCTAGTCCCGAGGGAAGATAGATCCAGTTGCCACACATCGTCCACGACCACCGCTATTCGCGAAGCATAACACTGATACGAGAGGAACACCGAGCGCGTAAAACTCGGTTTTCTCATGAACAGTACTATGGAGCTGCACTGCACCGTCTGCTGAGCTTGAAATCGCGCTATTCGCGTACACGCCCATCTCAGCACACCACTCACTAAGATGTCTGGGAGGTCAAGGGTCACATAGTGGATAGACGATTACATTGTAAGGCAGCATGGCAACAATAATCGAGAGATCGAACGACTTTCCTCGAGCAAAACTGCAGGAGCGTCTGACATGGTGCAGTTGAGAAGTGAGGGGTGCTCTTGTTCCCCTCTGCGTTTCATCCCACTAGGTAATTCCATCGTTTTGTTATCGCCGTTGGATAAAGCATTTCTCATTTACCATTCTTTGTATCATTACCACTGTCAACCCCACAACTTCGAATTATAGTGCATTGTTACAGGCTTGGACTGATACACCGCCGGTCTTAGTTATCATCGAACATCCACTGGAAATGGTCCGTTATCTAAGTAGCTGCGTTACATCAGGTGGTCGCATTACCGTGCAGGTGTTGTAGAGTTCCAACGTACCCACGGGGTGGTGAGGCAAGCTTACTAGTCAAGATAAGAGTGCAGTCGATCAGAAATATAGCGTTGAGAGTATTAAAAAACGATTTTCCTCGGGCATTGGTGCTTGCTGGCGGGATCACCGGGTGAGCAATATCGAATTCTGCAAATCAATGCTTATAAGCAGGATCTACTATCTGTTAAACCTGAATAGTGTACCTTGGCCAAGTCTTGGTCACCCGTATGCCTGTTGGCCGTTTTCATTGGTGTGCACTACATGCAGTCGCTGCACCCGGTAGGGTGAAAATGCGAGGTGACCAGTAAATGACGTGGCATAAAACATGAAGAAACTGGTCGAGAGACTTAGACTGGCATGCGTCCACTTCGTGGATGAGGGGCTCGGAGTTGTCAGTAGTTGGAGACCCTATCAGACATCGTAGTCGCTTCTAGCCAATGACTGTCAATTGTTATGCTCATTTTCGAAAATTGTCAACGCGTTCTATGCGAAAATCACCGAGGTATCAGCATCTATCCGCTGCCTCCAAACTCCTCACGTATGTCATTCTTCGATGGCATGCTGTTCCCGTGAGAGCAGTAGCATTAAGCCAGGCTGGCTGCGCCGAACATGTTTAGTCTTCATCAAGTATTGGAGCAGAGAACCAGTCACAAATGGCCGACTGGTTGTTTTCCTTGATGTGAAAGCTGTCGATTGCCTAGCTATTGATCTCACATGACCGCATGATTTGTGGCTTGACTAACCTGCGTTTACGTCTTCTGACTTTTCTGTTTTTATTGACCATGTCAGCCTGTAGTACTGCATTTCCGTGAATTGCGTACCAGAGCAGCTCCTACACCTTATGAACTCTTTCTACCGAGACACTCGAGGCCGGGTAAGGGCGGATGGGAAATTGTCTTTTGAGTTCTCCATAAGTGGGGTCCGCCAATGCTCTTTTGTACTTTATTTTCTCTTCCATTTTGTAATCGCAATGATCATAATTGACTCTGTCCCCTACTGGGATGGAATTCCTCCCAGGTGATCAACTGACAAATCTTGAGTGTGCGGACGACATGGTTCTTCTTGAGTCAAATGCAAGTAATGGAAACACTAGCGCGCTCCAGCATGTGCGGAAAAACACAAGGCTGTTGCAGGACTGAGTTGACGCACTTTCGGTTCTAGCTATTGCCGAACAGCCATTAGAATTAACCGATCTGTTCACTTTTGTAGTTGTGTCACCTCCGGTGATCACATCACTGAGGCTACTACACGTATCAGATGTTCAACCATATATGGAGACAGCAGGATGTCAGCCTATCAGTGGAATGTAGGGTGTATAACGCTGCGATAAGGACAGTGTTACTCTATAACTCAGAGATCTGACCAGTTTGTAGTAAAGATACCTCAAGATTGACTGCGTTTGACCACCGGTGCTTACTAAGTATTGTTCACGTTCGGTGGGGACACCGGGTGAGCAATGCTAAGGTCCGTCAGTTTCGCATGAGACTCTCTAGCACCGCAATAATGTTTGTTAAAGTTGAACCAGGTAACCTGACTAGGCATGTTCCCCGTACGCTCGTTGACCACCTTGCTCGGTGCGCAGTATGTGCTGTCGCTGCACCCGGTTGGGCGAAATCGCGAGGTGACCAGTCAGTGACGTGGTATGAAGGCCTCAATAAATTGTCCGGGAGACTGGTGCGTGCCGCCTCCGTGAATGGACCGCATCAGTAGTTGGGGACTCTATCAGACGTGGCGCAGTCGTATGGCCAGCAGTGCTCCTGAATTTGGCTTCTCGCATCTGGTTGGCCAATCAACTTTACGCTTTTCTCCTAACTCTGTTTCTCTTACGCTGCTTGCGATCTGTTCCATTTTCTCCACTGTTGTGGGGATCCGAACAAAATTTGAATCCCCTGTTCATCGAGGGTAAATTGTGATGAGACACTACGCTTACCCTTACGAAACAAGCTGACGTTGGGTCAGATTACCACGGCTCCACTATGTAATGTTAATCAAATATTTATGCAGATGATTGCAATAGGTGAATGTTATAACAAGCAATCTTCCGGCTCGTTGACGGCGAACATTCATTGCGCGCTGAAGAAGACTAGCGCACTTAGAAAGACTACGCTTGACGGGACTTTGATATGCGGGCATGTGGTCCCCAGGTCTTGGGGACATACACATTGAAAATGACGTGAAGAGGTACTAGAGGAAATTCCATAGATTGACAAATAGTAGAACGGGATAATGTTACTTGATGTGAATGCACCCACTTTAATTTCTGGAATAGAAATCCGAAAACAATTGGTCCATCACGGTCTTATGAGAAACGGATTGAAAAATATTGCATGGTACAGGTGCCCAAACAGTGCACTCAATAGACGAGATTATCACAATATAAAACATGCCCCAGCAAATTATCAGTCGCAATGAGGTCCATCTTTGCCTGAGGCCACGTTTATGGGACGAGTAGTCTGACTGCACTCGGATGAAGTTAGGGACGTTTTGACAGCTCTTCTGATAGCCAGTCTAGGCCCTCACAGAGCCCCTGGCCTTGGGTCGCGCAAGCCACTTGGACGTGCCACTGCAATGTAAAATGAGCGGTTTGAAGCGAGAGGTGGATGGGAATTTTAACACGATTGAAAAACTGGTGGTCATCGACGAACATGACGATGCAGTTGTTTTCAGGTAAGAAGACTAAACGAACACTGTAAAACCACCTCATATGTTTGCCACAAAACAAGTGCAGCTGCCGTGATGTATTTTAGATCTTAGTTTTCGTATACTTTCTAGTGTGAATAAAGTTTTCAATTCCCATTCGAATCCGAAAGCATAAGTGAAAGTTAGAAGACCGGCATTGTTCAGAGAAAAGCAAGTTTTGGGTCGCGTTAGTGGTGCTACACCAGACTTTTGAGGACCAGAACGGTTACGTCAGTTGCAGAGTATGGCAGCAAGTGACCATACAAATTAGTTAACAAACAGGTCGGGACGCGAACAGAATTCCTGAATTTTGTTGGATAAGTCAGAAGCATTTCACTGGCTACAGATGTCCAGATCAACATGTAGTAGGGAAAATCGTAGTAACATCGCAATCTGAATTCTTTTTGACAATTTCCTTGCAGACTGCAGGATAGAAGCCTCATCTTAGATGGGAACTTCAAGGAAGCAGTCTGTTGCACTGCAAATACAGGTAGGAAAGTATATGGGCCTCTGATCAATCTGCTGGCGTCAAGCACACTTCATTCGTGCCAGCTATTACTGCAACGGTGCGGCTGAGCGCAGACTCGTTTTTTTGTCCAAGTGAGCGCGTAAAATCGCTCATTGGACTAGGGACGTATCTCAACAAAATAGGGATCCCCTGCTCCCCCGAATTGCATGCATTTAGACGCGACTAAGTTCAAACCCGTTGTCCCTAAACATCTGTTTCACCAACAGTGGCTATAGCATGGTGAAGCAGCGGAGAGAACTATGGTCGCAGCAGATATCGCACGATCGATGTGGTGGGTCTTCGACTTTCACCGAATTAATAAGCCGGGTTCTATAAATTTTGCGAGGGGAATCTAACAATGGAACAGTCGGTGCAGCGCTTTTATTCATGTGAAGTTCCGTTTGGAGCGTATTTGCTTTGGGTCACGCGAGTCATATTGTCATAAACTACTTTCACTTGGTCAACGGTATATTGCGGATTTAAAAAAAGCCGAAGCTTGACGTTTGGGCTGAACACTTTGCTATGCAATTTAACCAACCTGAGTTATCGCTTTCTTCTTCGGGCATTGAACGCCCTTCTCCTTGGGCCGTCTCCCTGGATCCGCCCTCACGCGCTGAAGTCGAACGTGAGATCAGGCTGTTGAAATTGCATAAGGCCGCAGGAGCAGATACTATTCCTCCAGCCCTCTTCAAGTTCGGTGGACCTGCTCTAATAGGTGATCTACACGAGTTGCTAGTAAAACTTTGGGAGCAGGAGACAGTCCCGACAGACTGGAACCGCTCCGTCATTGTCCCAATTTTCAAGGGAGGCTCCCGTTTGGTATGTGGCAATCATAGAGGGATCAGTCTGATTTCGATTGCCTCCAAATTGCTTGCCTCTCTCATTCTCCACAGACTGACTGGCACTCGTGAAAGCCAAATTCGTGAAGAGCAAGCCGGATTTCGTCGAGGTCGGGGCTGCATCGACCACATCTTCACATTGCGTCAAGTGTTGGAGCACCGCCATGTTTATTGGCGACCCACCGTTGTCGTGTTTCTTGACATAAAAGGTGCCTTCGACTCAGTCGATCGATGTGCCCTTTGGGACTGTCTGTTGAGGAAAGGTGTGCCTGATAAATATGTAAACATTATCAAAGCGCTGTACGCACATAGTTCGGGCAGGGTGAGGGTTTATGGCAAACTCTCGCCACCCTTCAGTATCACCAGCGGTGTGAGACAAGGATGCCCGCTGTCACCTTTCCTCTTCAACTTCGCTATTGATGAAGTCATGGAAACAGCGTTCGCTGGACACGACCTAGAAGGTGTGGAGCTACTCCCTGGTGAGCGACTTCTTGACTTGGAGTATGCAGACGATATTGCCCTAATCTGTGACGGCTCCCAAACATGCCAAACAGCACTGAACCGATTAGCACTGGCTGTCAGTCGTTTTGGGCTATGCTTTGCTCCATCAAAATGCAAAGTACTTCTCCAAGATTGGCAGGGACCCAATCCTGCGCTAACGCTTGGTGGTGATCTGCTAGAAGTCGTTCAGGAATTCAAGTACCTGGGCAGCTATATTAGCACCCGTGGGATTGAAGATGAGGTTACGAACCGTATAGCAAAAGCTCGAGGTGCTTTTGCCAATCTCCGCCACCTGTGGCGCAGACGCGACATTACTCTCGCCCTCAAGGGCAGAGTTTACAACGCAGCCGTCCGTTCAACTCTCCTATATGGCTGTGAAACCTGGCCCATCAGGTCGACAGACATGAAGAGACTCGTCACGTTCGATCATCGCTGCCTTCGCAGCTTAGCTCATGTCTGGTGGGAACACCGCGTGAGCAATGAGCGTGTTCGACGTCGCGTATTTGGTGCAGGAAGAGCGAGTGAACCGCTCAGCACGATTATATCACGCACCAGGCTCCGATGGCTGGGCCACGTCTTGCGCATGCCAGCACACCGACTCCCACGACGTGCATTGTTTGCGCGTTGTGGGTGCGGTTGGAAGAGGAGGAGGGGAGGCCAAGTGATGACTTGGTCGCGAGAAATGAAAACCCTCACTTCGAAGTTGGCGTCGGTTGGTGCATCCCGACTGCCTGGCTGGGGTCCTAAGGACGGTGAACACGTTTGGCTGGACACACTTGCTGATATGGCTAGGAGCCGGCCCCAATGGCGTTTGTGTTGTGAGTTCCTTTGTCCATCCCCCTCCTGTTTAGCATCCCCCTCCAATCACGATCTCAATCCTTAGGCATAATATGACTTTCTTTTACGGCAGCCAGCTGTTAGCTCTCCGGAACGATGTCCATCCGTTACTGGGGACTCAGCGGGCGTGCCACTGTTTGTTTGTTTTTTCTTTTCTTGCCTTTTGTATTGCGGCACAATAGCTGAGGTGTTTTCCACCTCCAGCTAACGTGTAATGATGATGATGATGATGATGAAGCTTGACGTCTCGCCGGATGATCGGTTAGGGGTGAGCAAAATAAAGGCAAAAATAACAGTAGGAAATAGTGAACCGCAAATTGCGAACTTGCCGATTACAGCGTTCCCGTCCGTTTTATGTACTACACAAGATTATCGTCTGGTTTCCGGGTAAAAATGGCAGTTGTTTTGTTTTTGTTTTTCTGCTGTTTGTATGGGTCGTTTGGATTACGTGATGTGGTGTAGTATGGCCAATGCACTGTCGACACGTGCTTTGAACACGGCTAACGTGGGGATTGAAAAAACGGCTTCTGAGAAGGTATTCCACGGGCGGCAAACACGCCGCGGGAAGGAGTTCCTTCGACACTCCAACCAACTGTATTGTCCAGCCAATTTGAGATAATGACCTCTCAGTTGGCTGTTGTGACTCAGCACTATTAGTTGATGGCAGAGGTGATTAGTGTTGTTTAATATTTGGTAAACCATGATTACGTCACCACGCAAACAGCGTTAACATCCACTGAAAATGCCAAGCACTTTGAGGCGCTGATCGTATAACAAGTGGCGCAGCCCCTTGATATTTTTGGTCGCCCGACGTGGAAACTCCAAGGCCATGGGTTCCATGCGTATATAAGCGGGAAGTATTTGGCAGAAAATCGACGGGAGAATAAAGTGAAGAGGCCGATTTATTACTTGGTGATCAGTACGCGAGTGACTTTTTTATTAACTTAACAAGTAGCACAACGACCAGTGGATCACGGCAAGTTAATCCATTTTAGCAATACATCCCTTTACAAATCGTGACTTAGTTTAACGGCCTTAGCCGCTGCCACACGTGCTGTCATTTGCCAACCTCATGACTTACCTTTATTTCTCACACCTGTAACAATGGGCAGTTGATGTGTGACCATCTGAGCAATCAACCTTAAGAGAAATAACCACATTGCTAAGCTTTCTTCCTGCATCACATACAACTGGATTCGTGATACAATTGAGATGACATTTGGACTGTTAATGATGAAACACAATTTCCGAGTCCGGAATTATTCATGGTTTTTCTGAAGATCCCCCTAACACAGCCCTTCTGGGTGTACAGTTTGCTTGAATTGAATAATACAGTACATACACTAGATAAATACCTATCACCAGGGAAACCCGAATGAGTCATTCATAATCTTCATGTGCAGCCAAAGGCCTCGAATTCGCAAGCTCCTCAATCGATGGTGCCCATTGCGTTCAAAAACATCTGACAGTGACATTAAGCCTGTCGTGGTAGCGAGTAACGCAACAATCGGAATGCAGTTGACCATCGATCAATTTCATGTCATCTTTTTGGTTCTTTTGTTATTTGCATGTACATGGCCGACGAGAATTCACGAAATAGTGTCATCCCACAAGGTTTTCCATTTTTACACTCTTATTTAGAATTTAAGAGGGAATTTTATGTCTCAAGCTTCTATTTTTGCCAACCAGTTATTTCCCATATAATTTCTATGTCCAGACAGAAAAATTCTAAGACGTGCATTATTATCGATCACAAACATGCAGTGTAGACAGATAAACAAAAACAGTAGTATATAAGACCGTAGAGAACCAGGCGCTTGTACTACCAAGGTAGGCTTAGAGCCACAGTCAGTTGTCTTTGAGTACACAGTGGAGGGTGTTCCTGATCGATAACGATGGCCTCTAATAGCTTAAGTATGTGGGGCCGCTGGTCACGCAAAAGGACTGTGAACGATTGATCGGGAGTGACTCAATAGCCGCTGGTCAGCAGTACGTCGGCAAATCGTACGACGCTTCGCTGCCCACCAGCCGCACAAAGGATGGGTATATCGCGAGGTCGCTTGCACTTATACGGATTCCAACTGGAGACCTCAGAATTGTAACGCAAGCGCTTAGTCCCTTCGACCACCGGCCGGTTGCCAAAGCAGCTCGGTTTCCAGATTCAACCGATTCCGATGTCACAGGTCGCATCCGGCTGCATTGCTGCAGAGACAGCTAAGTTGGGCGCACTAACCGAAGCTTAGGTGTCAGAATCAATGAACACATCCCAAAGTGGTTACGCAGCCAAATGGAATCTGTGACGACGGAGACGATTGAGTCGAGAAACCGAGCTGCCTCGATAGTCGCAAAGCGTTTGCTGGATGCCAAGTCGATCGTGATGAGTCGTTCACAGTCTTAATGAGCGATCAGCGATCCCACATACTCAGGCTAATAAAAGCAATCGTTATGGATCACGAACACCCACTGCTGTGTATTAAGAAAACAGTTAAAGCTGGCTCTAATCTTATTTTGGTAGCGAAAATGCTTGATCATCTACGGTCTCATAGGACACCGCTTTGGTTGATCTATCAACGTTTAATGATTGTAATTAATAAAAACACGCGAAATGATGACGTCATTTTACAAATTACGTCTCCTAGCTCCCATGTGAAAGTATAAAGGGAATTTTTCTCTATTTTCGTTTAAATACTAACAATTTATTTAAACGGGATGGTGTGTACAAACCCCAATATGAGAAGTAAAGCAAGGTTAAAACAACTAAAGTTGTGCATACAGACTGGAAAAAGCTTTACTTACCTGATGTCTGCGTATATCTCTCAAGTGTAATTTTTCAGCTAACTCGTCGGAAGACATAGCGTTCGGAAGGTCTTGCTTGTTCGCGAAAATTAGGACCGCCACATCCCGTAGCTCTTCCTCGGCCAACATATGTTTCAGTTCGTTGGCAGCCTCATCTATGCGTTCTCGATCGCTGCTGTCCACTACAAAAATGAGACCCTGCAGAATGACACATGGGGACAGGCGCATCTCACTTGAGTATTCTGAAAGTAATGTCTCCATAAACGACGAATTTTGTCCTGGCCACCCACATCCCAAACGGTGAAGCTGATATTTTTGTATTCCACTGTCTCGACGTTGAACCCAATCGTTGGGATGGTGGTGACAATCTCTCCAAGTTTAAGTTTGTAAAGGATGGTTGTTTTGCCAGCGGCATCCAGACCAACTACAAAGCATAAATGCTAATGCTTATTGACAACACATCATTTTTAAACATTGATGTGAAAAAAACCAAAAACCGCAAAGGGGACGATGGTATAATTAAAACTAATCCGTTTACGCTACAAAATCGAAGGTCCTCAGGCTCTGTGCCGGAAATGAAACACCGGCGCCTGATATAGTCTGACTTTGAAAATTTGTCGATTGTTACAGAATGCAGCTCCATAGTCATTCTCCATGGTCCTGTTTAACAATGATGTTCAGAAGTACTACTCCTACTCGTTCTTCAGTCCCATTAGTTTCTCGACTTCATCAGAGTAGCATAAACTGAGAACTGCTAGTGTTCTCACTGACCTAGATCTCTTGTTTGTCTGATCACAGCTGTTTGACACCAACTATACAAAGGAGGGCTTCGTTACTAAACCGATTCTCATTATCTGTCGCGACCGCAGGATAGTGATTTCTGCGGGGTTTGCTCCTGAGACACCAGATATATTTCAAACAGCTGTCTAACTTGGTCTGTGGATTACTTTATCGTGTGAATTCAGTAATCCAAGTAAAAGGCGAAAAGGATGTTGCATGCATCATGCTACTTCCTCGCAGTTGGAGCAAACCGACTTACACATACACTAAACTAGACTAAATTTTCTTAACCTGGACAAAAGGTGTTCCATTTTATTTTATTTGCTCAGTTCCGTTATTCTGCTGCATATTCTGTGTCAATTTTGAGTGCTTATTTCCCTTCAAATTGTTTGGTATCCTAGGTGTGGCTACACTTGATGTGAATTTTGACAACTACCTGTCGAAAAACCGCTACGTCGATTATGCTGGATGCAAGAGACATTTGGGCGTTGCTTGGAGATACGAAGTACACGGTTTCCGTGACCGTGTTAGCCTCAAAGAGTGGTTCTGTGCGTCCAGTGTGGAGCAAGCTATGGCCCAGCCACCGACTTGTATGTCTGGTACGCACGACTTCCCAAATTAGACAGACAGGAATGCTGTCGCTGTGTATGTCGAAGAAATGTGGGCTGGATCCACATGCCTCCTGGTTTTATTCCTTCGGAGCGGCCAGTGGTGCAGCGCAACCATCCATGCTCCATCACGTGATGCAGGCGTCCTGTGGAGGCCAGAGTGACAGGCAAATCCGGAACCGGATGCCGCCAACCATATACCGCAAGACCTCAGCCTTACGGTAACTCAATCTACTAAGTATGAATCCGAGTCATGAGCTCTATGGAAGCAAATGACCTGGAAAGTTTTCAAAAACATTCATTCGCATGTTAGTCGTTATCGAAAATGCTGATAACAATATATCCGCATTGTATGCTGATAGGCCGGGGACAGCGTGTCGCGAGTATCAGAGAGGAACGAAGCGAAGATATGGGAATAGGACTGCAATGCATAACTATAGGTGGCTGGTGCGGCTACAACAAACAACCGCCGATCAAAGGGCCTAGCCAACGTAAATGGTTTGGGTTCAGCAGATGTTATGCTGTGCTAAATGGGCTCTTTACAGTCATCAACAGGCGAGTTTTGGTATTGTCCACTCGGTGTTATCAATCGATAAAATCGATCAATCAATCGATCAATCGATAAACCAATGTCTGGGCATGAGAATCGCGGTGTAGGTTACAAAATGGAACGCCGTTCAAGGAAAGGCGGTGCCATAAACGGGCACGGTTAACTGAACAGCTGGGCTTCGAGTGAAAGGAAGTCACGTTGGTGGGTCGCTCGTACGTATCTCTATGTTACAGCAATTTACTACTTGTCGGGGCGAGAACCCATAGACAAAGTGAGTCGCCTAAATAGCATAACTGCGAGAAAAATGTGAGTATTAAAAGCAATGCAAGTGCTTGGATGAACTTCACATAAATTTCCGTGGTCCCTTTTAAAGATGATGCCTCTTGATAAACGCGTCTGAAGGTACCTTACGCGTCCCAAAGTACTGCAGGTACAATGAAACTAATACCCAATCTGAACCAATTTCCGTGCGTCAGTCGTATGAGGCGAAGCTGCAGAAAACACAACAATTCAGATGCCTAAAGGTGGGTTGAAGCGTGACCTCGAGTGGTCCTTGTATGATGCACTGAAGACAGTTCTAACCAGAATTTAATTAGTACACACCGTTCACCGGTATTAGCTGACTATCTTGTTCATTTTGATATTAACCAAACTTATCGAGAAAACAGCAACAACACCGTCCGTGTTTTACACGTGGTGGAGGAGTGTTGATAGCAAAATTCAAATGTCACTCGAACTGCAAAGTGTGAATGTAGACCGACGTCTTGAATAGTATTGCTGCTGATGGCCTGATGTCTCAAATCTCCCTACCAACGTGACGGCGTGCACTTGGCCGTTGAATACAAGCTGAGTGATTAATTCAACTTTAATTGCAATATCAGAAAAACGCCCAATTCTGCACCACAAACGCTGTTAGATATGGCCTGGTCACGAAGTCAGTGAAAGCTTCATGTTGACTACCCTGCCCCTTACCTATAATTCTTTCACTTAAGATTTTGTGTATCTGTTTTTGGTTGGCCCGTCAGGTCGACATACATAAAGAAGCTAATTGCATTCGATCACCGGTGCCTTCGTAGTTGGGCTCATACCTGATGAGAACATCGCGTGAGCAATGAACGTGTTCGGTGTCGTGTATTTGGTGCAGGAAGAGCGAGTGAAACGCTCATGCACCAGTTTCGATGCCTGGGCCATGTATTAGCAATGCCAGCACAGTGACTCACCCAACTTACGCTATTTGCGCTATCGGAATCTCGATGACTTAATCTAGAGAAATGAATGACCACTTCGAAACGGTCTCGGTTAGTGCATTTCGACTGCCGGTTTTGGGTCCGAACGACGATGAACACTCGTTGGGGTGGCCAAGAGTCGACTTCAGTGACATTCTTGCTGAGTTTCTTCATTCATTCCTCCTCTGCTAAGCCTCCCCTTTCAACCACGACCCCATCGTCGATGCATAATATAAAACATAGCTTAGTATTGTTTCTGTACAGCAATATTTCTTTACCGTTCCTTTTTGCTACCACCTAGTTGAATTGTATTGTGGTACAATAGATGATGTGTATTTTTAGCTCTAGCTAAAATGTGGAATGGTGATGATGGACGTTTTACGTATTGCAATGTTCCACGCCTACTAGCTATCGTTTTTCAAGACAAACAGGCTGGATCCAACTCACTTCGGAACATGCAGCGTAGACGATCTACTGAACCACTGTATCAACTATGTATTAGAAAAGCAATGATACGGAAAGAAAATGTATGGAAAATATGGTGTTAAAGTTACGTGGAGAGGGGTTGCGGTATAGCTTGCTATCCAGGAATTTATGACGAACGACATATCGGTAGACATTCTTTTGTATCTGAGGGAGCGTAGGATGTGGTCGTCTTGCAGCAAGCTGCGTAAGCTGAAACGCGCTCCTAATGGGGGATAAACGAATATTTGCGGGACTATTCAGTGGGTGAAAGGACATGAGTGCCAGTATTTCTCTTATGACTACTCAGTGGTTTGCTACTGTAAGCTTCAGACCAGGCAGCCCATGACTAATAGGAAGCAGACACGGAATTTCACCTACGGTTGATAGCGAGCAGAAGTGTGGTATGTGATAAAACTGAAACGGTTGCTAGACCCAAACTAATTAATATATCACTTATCAACTCAACCTAATACCGCTGCTTTGTGGGCCGATCCCCGTTGCAACAGGGTTGTAAGCTACCGGGTGCGTCCCCAGACTGTAAACAGGGGGAATGTTTACCCGGTGAGAGTAGACGTGAATAAGTCTCATCTCTTTCGCGGGCGAGATAAATAAGCAGTTGTGGACAATCAGTGACAATGTCCCGGGTCCCGCAATCCTTGGCTGTTCACCTCTATACTTCACAAGTGGCACTACCAGGAAGTTGCACCGAAACCCCTTTGGTTAGTTATGGGGTTACTGATTACTCACGGCTCTAGAAAACCTACAGAGGTCATTTAGCAAAGTTTCACCAAGAACTATTGAAGCGGCGCCAGCAACTCCAGCTCGATCCGTTTTGATTACGAATATTGAAGTATAAGTTGATGCTACCGCACAATCTGATTCGTCGAAAAGCCCATTCCAACTTGGGTACATTAGAACTGCAGCATGATTCGACTCGGAAACTTCATAATAAGAATAATACCGTGGTTATACTAATGTGTAAAACATTCACGCGATCTAAGTTTTTCAAATCAGACATGTCATTTTGTGAAACAGGCAACTAATCACAAGTAGGTCGTGTGAGAACGCAACAGCAATTCGTGATAAACTCGGAAATTACCTAGACCAGGGCGTAATTATGATTATCACACAGGGAAGTCGCCTGACGAACTGTTTTAAGATGGACCACATAACCGGTGAAGGATGAAGTAGAAAAAATTTGCATGTTCTCGAAGCCCACCAGTACGCTCCATCTTAAGATTAAATATAAACCTGTGACGGTGACAAGAGCATGCAAAGACAAAGACCGCCACAAAACAAAGCACTCCTTATGCTGAAGTATGATACTGCTTGTACAAAGTTCGTCTGTATCAGCTATGGACGCAACTCCTCTCGAGATGAGGAATATACCTATAATTATCATTATTACTTCGGCAACGAGACGTGAGTGAATAACGGGGCGAATGAACAACCTTGGATTGTTGTTCGAACAATAAGGAAACGTACGAAAGGTATCCGGGTATGTCGGTGAGTCCTGTGCACCAGGAAATCTTTCCCGATCTCCGTGTTTCTATGATCTGACTCTTTAGGTACCCTAATTGGTTTGTTACTATGCGAAAGCCGTGTTAGTTACATATAGGTAGCCGGTTAACAACGGTTCGAGGTATCCGTAAGTCTTTCTAATGCGTCGTGGGTTAGCTCTTTCGGTCTAAGTCTCTGAGTGATGTCTCCTAAGTCACCCGAGAAGCTCCATGCACACAAATCATCATCATTCAACATGTCAGCTGGGTGTGAGAGAATCCTCGTCTATTGTGCCG